AAAAAAAATTAATGCTCATAAATTGGAAAAAAACTTTAAAAAAAGTCCGCCATCCATGCATGAGACTCAAACCCAAAGTTTCAAGGTTTTTAATTTAGATATTCATTGATACACTATCTAGTTAGATATGTTGTACAAGATATTTATTAAAAATTATTATTTTTATATGAAATTAAAAGTAAATAAACTTAAAAATATAGTTATGTATATAACATGTAGAAATTAACTAAATTGATTGTATTTATATTATATTTTAATAATTAAATTGAGAAGGTATTTAAAAGATGTTAAACTAAAAAGTATACTAATAATTTTTCTTTTAATTTATATATAATTTAATCTTTTTATTATGACTGATGACATGACATCAAAATTTTGCTTACATGTATGTCTCTGCGTGTTGGAGTTCTCTTATGTGATGTTAATTTGGTTAGAGCTAGTGATTAATGCTTTACTAAAACAATAAATATTAAGACATTGATACAAATAATTTTTAATTTAATACATTTTATAATAATTTATTAAAAAATTATTATTTTTTAGTTTAGAATTAAAAATAAAAAACTTAAAGACCCAATCATGTTTAGAGCATAGTGGAATCGAGTTAAACCGACTACACTTATATTATATTTTAATTACTAATTTGGTTGAGTGTCGACATGTGTATCGAAATAGAGAGTGTTTGAATTATTTTCCTAGAGATTAATTAAAAAATAATAAATAATAGGTGCCACTGTTGAGTGAAAAAATTCCACACTGAGTGTATAAAAAAGAAGTATGTGAATTAAATATAATGAGGGTTATTTCACTTATAGCTAGGTGGTTTTAAATTAGATGCAAACCTTATATTGAAACATATACACAATTTTCTTATGGTATAAGAGCCTATGTTCTATTATTGGTAGCTTGTTATTAGTCCACTTGATAAGACTCAAAATTAATACTAGGCCTGCATGTGGGGGCATGTTGAGTGAGAAAATCCCACATTGAGTGTATAACAAAAAAGTATATAGGTTAAATATAAAGAGGGCTACTCCACTTACAACCAATTAATTTTAGATTGGATACAAGACTTGTGTTGAAATCCATATGCTTATTTTCATAGACACCTTCAACTAAATGGGTCATCAAGCTCTTGTGCTAGTTCAAATCTCATATCAATGAGAAAATGTAATTATATTTTTGTTAGTATGAGAAAATGTAATTATAAATAATATGTAAGTGTCAAGAGCATGGTATCAAGCTATGTTCTATCTTGAAAAGTTCATTATAAATCCACCTGATAGGATTTGAAGTTAATACAACGTCTGCATATAAAAGGGTGTCTATTATGCCATGTAATAAGACTTGACTCATAGCGAGCCAACACATGAAGGGATATGTTAAGTAGGAAAATCCCACATCAAGTGTATAATAAAGAAGTATGTAGGTTAAATATAAGAAGGGTTATTCTAACTATTAACAATTGATTTTAAGTTGGATATAAGTCTTGTGTACCCACATACTTAATTTTCACAAACACGGGTCATCAAGCTCTTATGCCATTTCAAATCTCATATCAATGAGAAAATGTAATTGTAAATAGTATGTAAGTGTCAAGGACAATCATTAGCTAGGTACTATTCAAACTGAATTTTGAGAGTTATTCAAACCTAAACTTAATTTTGAGAGTTATGTAAATCTGGCGTAGAATAGCTGTTAGGTGTATAAAAGGTTTAACTCATGTTGTTCTAGTTGGTATCAAATTATATATTTTTCGTTGCAGATATATATGAGCCAATAATACAAAAACCTTACGGTTAGTAGTTAATTTGAAAAGTCATCTTTACTCCAATAAAAGCATAGAGTAGACAGTGCTAGTATCAACGTTCAGTTTCAAACCCCAATGTTTTACTTTACTCGGATAGATTCTGTGAAAGTGGACCTATAGATATGTAAAGAGGTTGTAATTCCTAGCATTACCATTAGTGAAGAGAAAATATAATTATATGAATTATATATAACTATTAAATCTAAAATTATTAACAATTCAAACTTTTTATATCCATATAAATCTTTTTCTTGAAAAGTTATTCTAATAAAACCATGTGCAACGTATCATGATTTAGGATCATCAGTTATAGAAACTTGAATGTAATGCTCTATTATTGTACACTACTAAAACACTCATTTTTAGCAATATGATAGCACGTTGGTGAAAGTGTAGCCCATGTTGTTGAACTACTTTAGCAACATATTTCTTATTGCTGATTTCTTTGTTGGAGAAGCTTTGCTCAGTAATACACTATCGATAAGCTTCACGTTATTGATTCATGTTGCCCTTTTTAGCAACATAAGCCATGTCAGTGAGAGTATGGTTTCATTGACGTGGCTTATATTGCTAAAAATAGTTATTGAAGCCGGTCACCAAAATTGTGCACCCTTTTTAGCAACATATGCCACGTCAGTGAAAGTATGTTTCACCAACGTAGCTTATGTTGCTAAAAATAGTAGCTAGAATCGATCACTGGAATTGTGCACCCTTTTCAACAACATATCCCTTATTGCTAATTATCTTTTAAATAGTAACACCATCTTATTGTTAGCAACATATTTCTTGTTGCTAATTATTTTGTAAATAGTACAACACCCTATTTTTAGCAACGTACCCCTTGTTACTGATTATCTTTTGAGAAGTACAATTGTGCACGCCTCCCACCAATTAGTAACATGTTCCACGTCGGTGATGCTCCAAAATGCCATTTTCCCAATAATTTCACCGACAAGGGGTATGTTGTTATACTATTTTACTTTATAAAAAAATTGTAAGTTCATAAATTTGCTCTGCCAATATTATAGACACATATTCCTCAGTTCCA